GGATGCTCTCAATGCCCTGTATTCAGGGTTTGTTTTTTTTTCAATAAATTACGAAATTCAGCCAGAAGAGCTGTTTTTCCAGTTTAACTAGGCATCTTATAGTGGCAGAATCTGGCTACCCTATGGCTGATGGATATGCTGCTGCCCACTCCATGCTCCTGATTAGTGGACAAGCCAGCACGCCCATGCCCCTCCATTAATAGTCACTTACAGCACCAATTCCTCCTTTCTGGTTATGTCTTAACATCCTCAGGGAAGAATTCAGATAACTCCGGCTACGGTTTTCTTCAGCCACTAAGATAACAAACTCCGGCACAGGTCATTTGTCATACTCGTTTTGGTCCTGGATCCCTGATAGGTCTCTTAATGAAATGATGTCTGCAAATCCTCTTTCTTTGAACTATGCCAGAGAAAGCTGCATGATAGCGGGTGTTGGACAGGAGGTGATGGTGGGAGGTGGTGATGGAGACCTCCTTAAAGCCCCAGGTGGACCTTCCCTCTCTCCCTCCTCCCAGGCTAACTGGCCTTTAGTGGCTCTGGGACTGTCAGGGTTGGGGAGCTTCTCCGGGCATGCATAGCTAAAGAGATCCTGTTGTCAGAGAGCACCAGTTCCTAGTAAGTAACCTAGATTTCTCTTACACTCTGGCTGCTTCCTGCTGTCTAAATAGAGGAAGTGTAATGAAGTTTATTATCTGCGACCTAATGCTAATTCCTCTTGCGTCCTGCCTTTGTGCAAAGGGAGAAGGGTCATTTGAAAAGAAGCATCAGGACTAAGCTCTGTTGTTGTAAACACTCTCCAGAGTAATAAAACAAATCTACTGAACAAACAACCTTGTGAAACACTTAGTACTCTGGAGTCATTTGTGACAACCCTGAGTTGTATAATATATTTCATCACAGAAAAGGAAAGGTCAAGGTATGGAAGGGTGTGATATTTTGTCCTGTGTTCTTAACATGGTACCTTATCAATGAATCAGTGAATTAAAATTCCTTCTAAAACTCTTGTCAAGTTACTCTCATATCTACTAAAGCTTTTTCATTTTATTTAAACAAGTAAACAGTGACTAAAATTAGCATTTGGCGTACAGGACAAATGACACTGAAGTAAGCCATACGTTCAAGCTTGATGATATTTCACCTATCAATAAAAAAAAAGAAGTTGCCAGCCATATCAGTAAACAAAGGATATTGCAGCCATCAAGCCATCACATTATAGCCACCTCTGTGGTGAGCCCAGAGTGAACTCAGGACGAGAAAGCACAGGATGCTGGCCCCAGATAGCTGAGGTGCACATCAAAGGAATGATTTCAGTGAGCCCAGACTCATATCTTCCCATACATGAAAAACACTAAATTCCTTAACTTGAGATAATCTGATTTTCTTTTTCTTTCTTTCTTTCTTTTTATTTTTTAACTGGAGTATAGTTGCTTTACAGTGTTGTGTTAGTTTCTGTTGTACAAGGAAGTGAATCAGCTGTATGTATACATATATCCCCTCCCTCTTGGACCTCCCTCCCACCGCCTCCTCCATCCCACCCATCTAGGTCATCACAGAGCACCAAGCTGAGCTCCCTGCGCTATACAGCAGGTTCCCACTAGCTATCTATTTTACACATGGTCGTGTATATATGTCAGTCTTAATCTCCCAATTCATCCCACCCTCCCCTTCCCCCCCACATGTCCGTTCTCTAGATCTGCATCTCTATTCCTGCCCTGCAAATAGGTTCATCTATACCATTTTCCTAGATTCCACATATATGCGTTAGTATACGATATTTCTTTTTTCTCTTTCTGACTTACTTCACTCTGTATCACAGACTCTAGGTCCATCCACATCTCTACAAATGACCCAATTTCATTCCTTTTTATGGCTGAGTAATATTCCATTGTGTATATGTACCACATCTTCTTTATCCATTCATCTGTCGATGGATATTTAGGTTGTTTCCATGTCCTGACTATTGTAAATAGTGCTGCAATGAACACTGGGGTACATGTGTCTTTTTGAATTAGGGTTTTCTCAGGGTATATGCCCAGTAGTGGGATTGCTGGGTCGTATGGTAGTTCTCTTTTTAGTTTTGTAAGGAAACTTCATACTGTTCTCCATAGTGGCTGTATCAATTTACATTCCCACCAACAGTGCAAGAGAGCTCCCTTTTCTCCACACCCTCTCCAGTGTCTATTGTTTGTAGACTTTTTGATGTTGGCCATTCTGACTGGTGTGAGGTGATACCTCATTGTAGTTTTGACTTGCATTTCTCTAATAATTAGTGATGTTGAGCGTCTTTTCATGTGCCTCTTGGCCACCTGTCTTCTTTGGAGAAATGTCTGTTTAGGTCTTCCACCCACTCTGATTGGGTTGTTTGTTTTCTTGACATTGAGCTGCTTGTATATTTTGGAGATTAATCCTTTGTCAGTTGCTTCATTTGCAAATATTTTCTCCCATTCTGAGAGCTGTCTTTTAGTCTTGTTTATGGTTTCCTTTTCTGTGCAAAAGCTTCTAAGTTTCATTAGGTCCCATTCGTTTACTTTTTTTTTAACATCTTTATTGGAGTATAATTGCTTTACAGTGGTATGTTAGTTTCTGCTTTAGCAAGGTCCTTTTTGACCCACCTCCTAGAGAAATGGAAATAAAAACAAAAATAAACAAATGTTTATTTTTGTTTTTATTTTCATTACTCTGGGAGGTGGCTCAAAAAGGATCTTGCTGTGATTTATGTCAAAGAGTGTTTTTCCTATGTTTTCCTCTAAGAGTTTTATAGTGTCCGGTCTTACATTTAGGTCTTTAATCCATTTTATTTTTGTGTATGGTGTTAGGGAGTGTTGTAATTTCATTCTTTTACATGTATCTGTCCAGTTTTCCCAGCACCACTTATTGAAGAGGCTGTCCTTCCTCCATTGTATTTTCTTTCCTCCTTTGTCAAAGATAAGGTGACCATAGGTGTGTGGGTTTATCTCTGGGCTTTCTATCCTGTACCATTGATCTATATTTCTGATTTTGTGCCAGCACCATACTGCCTTGATTATTCTAGCTTTGTAGTATAGTCTGAAGTTGGAAAACCTGATTCCTCCAGCTCTGTTTTCCTTTCTCAAGATTGCTTTGTCTATTCGGGTCTTTTGTGTTTCCATACAAATTGCAAAATTTTTTGTTCTAATTCTGTGAAAAATGCCATTGGTAGTTTGGCAGGGGTTGCATTAAATCTGTAGATTGCTTTGTGTAGTATAGTCATTTTCACAATATTGATTCTTCCAATCCAAGAACATGGTATATCTCTCCATCTATTTATGTTATCTTTGAGTTCTTTCATCAATGTTATATAATATTCAGAGTACAGGTCTTTTGCCTCCTTAGGTAGGTTTATTCCTAGGTATTCTTTTTGTTGCAATGGTAAATGGGGTTGTTTCCTTAATTTCTCTTTCTGATCTTTCATTGTTAGTGTATAGAAATGAAAGAGATTTCTGTGCATTAGTTTTGTATCCTGCAACTTTACCAAATTCATTGATTAGCTCTAGTAGTTTTCTGGTGGCATCTTTAGTATTCTCTATGTATAGTATCACGTCATCTGCAAACAGTGGCAGTTGTACTTCTTTTCCAATTTGTATTCCTCTTATTTCTTTTTCTTCTCTGATTGCCATGGCTAGGACTTCCAAAACTATGTTGAATAATAGTGGCAAGAGTGGACGCCCTTGTCTTGTTCCTGATCTTAGAAGAAATGCTTTCACTTTTTCACCACTGAGAATGATGTTTGCTGTGGGTTTATCATATATGGCCTTTAGTAGGTTGAGATAGGTTCCCTCTATGCCCAATTTCTGGAGAGTTTTTTTTATTTTAAATGGGTGTTGAATTTTGTCAAAAGCTTTTTCTACATCTATTGAGATGATCATATGGTTTTTATTCTTTAATTTGTTAATATGGTATATCACATTGATTAATTTGTGTATATTGAAGAACATTTTGCATCCCTGGAATAAATCCCACTTGATCATGGTGTATGATCCTTTTAATGTGTTACTGGATTTTGTTTGCTAGAATTCTGTTGAGGATTTTTACGTCTATATTCATCAGTGATATTGGTCTGTGCTTTTCTTTTTTTGTGATATTTTTGTCTAGTTTTGGTATCAGGGTGATGGTGACCTCATAGAATGAGTTTGGGAGTGTTCCTCCCTCTGCAATTTTTTGGAAGCGTTTGAGAAGGATAAGTGTTAGCTCTTCTCTAAATGTTTGATAGAATTCGCCTGTGAAGCCAACTGATCCTTGACTTTTATTTGTTGGAAGATTCTTAATCAGTTTCAATTTCATTACTTGTGATTGGTCTGTTTATATTTTCTAATTCTTCCCGGTTCCGTTTTGGACAGTTGTACCTTTCCAAGAATTTGCCCATTTCTTAGTAATCTTTTGAAGTTCTGACTACCTGGTCTTTGTTGCAAAAACTCCTGTGGACCCTGGCCCCACCCTCACCTCTTGGGAGCCGTCCCTCAGAGCGATCTGAGATGCTGTGTCCTAGGCTTAAGTCCTCAGTTTTGTCCGCCGAATAAAACATAATTCTCACCTTTTAGGTTGTGCATTTTTTTCCAGTCAACATGCCAAACCATTCCAAGCCTGACAGTGTGTAATAGTGCTTTCAAATGCTTCACTTTAAAAAGCCAATTAAGCAAAGACCAATTTGGTAACACTAATACATTGTGACTTGAGAAAAATATTTAATTTGCACCTTTTCTTTTTTTAAAAAATTAGGGTTTTTAGTGATATTTTTCATATGTTACTTTCACACTCTGTTATTTTGGTCTGTTTCTTTTATTCTGCATGTTTCCTTGATTAATTTGGAGGACATCTGCATATAATTCTCTGGGCTTTTCACTGGCAAAACCTCACAGCTTTTCACAGGACTTAAGAGAGTTCCTGTGCCAGACAGTCTTGGATTGTAGCTAGTTGAAATGCCAAACCTCCAAAGGTGCCAGAGCAGAAGTGTGTAATTATGTAATTTTCTCTTAATCTTTCAGAGTCTTTCTGCGAGCGATTAATCAGTATGCAGATATGCTGAACAAAAAATTTCTGGATCAAGCCAACTTTGAGCTGCAGGTAAGAAAAGAGGTAGACATGACCTTTGCTGGGAAATCATGTTAGAACCAGTTGCTGGTCTGAGCCCATATCTTATACTTCTAATCCCTGAACTTAAGTTTTCCCATTTAAGGTGTGGAAATGGAATTTACAGTGTGTGATACTGGAACCCGAGGATTGAAAATGATGCCTTTGGGCTATTTGCTCCATTTAGCGAGGAAGGAGATGGAGCTGTTTCAGAGTGAAAGTCTTGAATCAGAGTGACAAGTAGGGACTCTCTGAGCAGGAAGGCCACCACATCTCAATTGGTGAGGCTGCCAAGATTGTCTCAGGCCATCCTAATGTGATGAGGGTCAGCCCAGGAGGAAAAGTGGGTCTGCATCACTGAGCCCAGCTTGCTTGTAGATATAGGTTTTCCCCTGATGTATTCTCTTCCGGCTTTGTGCTGCCCCAGTTGGCCTTTACCAGGCAAAAGGTCCCAGCCCTGCAGCACCCCTTGGCTGCGGTCAGCTGATCCTTCCATGTTGGACCTACTTCTCCAGTGCTTGTGGAGTGCGTGCGTGCGTGTGTGTGTGTGTGTGTGTGTGTGTGTGTGTGTAAAAAGGACTGATTTTTCCCTGGCATGATTTCTCACTATGCACCTACTATTTGTGACTCTCATTTCCACTGAACTTCGGATATATTTCTGCTCATCATGATTTTGCCATTATGTAGTTTCATTTACTAAAGTTTGCAAATAAAAGCATCCAAATGCAAACAGGTTAGTTTCCTGGGTGGGATTTTTCACTGAGAAGGAACCTGAAAAATTTATGTCTACCCAGAGGGTGGTCTGGCTCAAAACTGAGTTACCAGAGAACAAAAATTAGACAACCATCTACCTTCCCTTTTGCGTGGTCTTCAGAAAATTTAGAGCTAATGTGCTACTCGGTTTATTAGATTAAGTTCTTAGGTGCCTATGCCCTATTTCTTGTATCATTTTTTTTAATTAAAAATGTTTTTTTGTCATTTAAGTACACAGTAGTACGTCAGGTACTGTGTATTTGGAAATGTTACTTACTATTTTTCACAATTTTAAATGTTTTATTATTTTCTCTGCTTAATGTTTGTTTTCACACGTCCTAATACACAGATACATGCACGTAAAATATTCATGCAGTGTAAATCTGCACATCGAATAAAATATGAAAGGCCCCTTACCACCCTTTCACCCTTTTCTCCCTCTGCCAGGTAACTTTTTAAGTAATTGTTGTGTGTTCTCCTTGAGGCTTCTTTAAGCATTTACAGTTGACCCTTAAGTAATGTGGGAGGGCCGGGTGGAAGGTGATTAATCTGAGCATAATTCGACCAACCACTGACTATGTGGTACTGTAGTGGTTACTACTGAAAAATATCCACTTGTAAGTGGACCCGAGGAGTTCAAACTTAAGTTGTTCAAGAGTCAGCTGTATCTGGACCTAGACCTGCTTTCTTTTGGTTTTGAACGTGAATTGGGTCGTGCCAGCCGTGGTTTTTCACTTCTATCATATTCCACAACATAAATGTTACCAACATTGGTGCAG